TGCCCCGCCGCCGGGTCCTCTTCTGCGAGCGCCGGCTGGGACCCAGTCCCGACGACCGAGCGCGCGCCCGCGAGGAGAGCTGACCTGGGGCCGGGAGCCCCAGGACCCCCAGAGCTTGGCCATACCACCCTGGCTCGCTGCCCAGAAAAAAATAGTCGTCGTCCTCCGGGTAGAAAGCGCTTTGGGATCTCCTCCCAACCTGGGAGGAGAAGAACTCGTCCTCATTTCCAATGCCACCCTGGGTCCAGGCCGCTTCCTGGGAGTCCGCGGGCGCTGGGCGGACCAACCCAATAGGGCGTCCGCGTAGAGCGGTTCCAGGTTGGACAGGCTCGTGCGCAGCGCCCATGATGGCACGCTGCTTGCCCTGCACTGGCAGGAGCCGCCGTGTCTCCAGGAAGGACAGGGAACTGGGTGCAGGCTCAGCGGGGTTGCTGTCGGTGAAGTAGATGAAAATGGCCAAGAAGAGGAGCCCCCACGCAAATATTCCGAAAAGCATGCATTGCCTCCATTGCTTCAGGTGTGGTTTCATTGCAGATCTCTGGGGTTAGCACCTGGTCCCAAAATGGCAGCGGGAGGCCGAGGAACCTGAAACACGGTCAAGAGCTTGGATTAGCCAGCACCTTGGATTAGCATAGGGTATCCGAACTCAAAACGATGGGGGATGGCCGGATTCAGGGTCAGAGACCTGTAGACCGCTCCAGCCAGGGTTCTTACCACCTCTGCTGGGCCTTGAGAGGAGCCTCAGCAGGTGCCAAACGGGGCCCACCCAACAAGCGATTGCATGGGATCTACAGGATTCCAACTAGGCAAACATCTCTCCTGACTAGTCTTCCAAAGGCCCGGAACTCTTTTTGTCTTCCAGCAGCAGCCCTGTACATTATTTCGGTGAGGGGTGGTGATGGTGATAACCAGGTCTGACTCAGGATGACCTCTCCAAGCCCAAGGGTCACCAATGACACTGAAGCAGTGCTCCGGTGACCGTGTTTTCTGCTGTTAGGCCAGGTGTGTGCCCCTGGACTCCAACCGTGCCCCCAAATATCACCCTTCTCCCTATGCAATTAGCACCGGATCGCCAGCGCCAAGAAATGAACATGGAAGAAAGGGTCACAGCAGCTCACTTGCTCTGTACCAGCCTTGTCCTTGGCATGGTCCTGGGTTATCTCATTTGTCTTTTTTCAGCATCTAGTAAGGTTGAGACCACTGCTGTTTCTATTTTCTAGATGAGGAAACCAAGGCCCAGACAGGTTAAATAACTCACTTAAAGCCACAGAGATAGCAAGCAGCAAATAATGCAAACTTTATTCTAGGGTTCACACTTTTAACACTAAATTCATAGTTCATCTGCTCATCATACCAACTGAAGTTCTAGATCCTAAATTGTTTCTCACACTGTCTGTGATAAAGGTTCATTCTTCCCCAAAGCATCACTATCTGATATTTTTGTATTCCTTTCTGTGACTGAATGTCCTGGCGATGTCCAAGGCTGTTGAAGTTTCTAAGTACTTACTGTGAGCTGCAGACACCTCAGTAGCAATGGGTGATAAATTTTCCAGTGTTCAGCCTGAGGCCACACTGTGGGTGCCACCTTGTACATCACCTGCCTGACCTGGCACACAGGAGCTAGGGCTTCAAGCTGAAAATTCCAACAAGAAGGTCTAGAAGCTCCTTCCTGTGTTTCAAGGTATCCAGTAGAATTTGGAAAAGTACCCTAAATAACAACTTTTCTGTTTCTACCACACGGAGGGTAATCGTGACACTCGTTACCCAGAGTCAGCACTGTCATCCCCAAGACTCCCCTCCCTGCTGATGCCGACTGCCTCTGGTGTCCTCAGGCCACCCCAGTCTAATTGATTCCTTGACACCCTTCAGCTCTGGTAAGTTGTTGGAAAGATTAACAGAAGTTAGAAAGGTGCAATATTTAGGATTACATTTTTATTGTAAAGCATATATATTAATCAGCTTTCCTGTTACTGAGACAAAATTTCTAATGGCCACAACTTGAAGGAGAAGTTTATCAGCTTATGGTTTCAGAGGCCAGGTGGCTCCTAGGGAGAAAGATGGTGGAAGGGTGTGGCCAAGGAAATCAACTCTAGAATAAGGGAAGGGACAAAAAAAACTTGAAGGAGAAGTTTATCAGCTTATGGTTTCAGAGGCCAGGTGGCTCCTAGGGAGAAAGATGGTGGAAGGGTGTGGCCAAGGAAATCAACTCTAGAATAAGGGAAGGGACCAGTAGGAAGGAGTCAGGGAGCAGATACAGTCCCCACGTTCATGCCCTGCTGATATGTGTCCCCCAACTAGCCCTTTCTCCCTAGGATAGATTTTTCACAACAGGGTTAATCCATTGGTGAAGTAAGTCCAGTCAGGTTGACAGTCAAGATTAGTCAGCACAGGTTGCACATGGGGTGAAATCTAGAGAGAACAGTTGGAATCTGGGTGCATGTCCCTCCTGGCACATCACAAAACTACCAACCAGAAGACTCCACTCAGCTCTGGTGCCAGAGTTTTACTCAGGTTTCATGATATGGGCATGTAGAGAGACTTGGTCGTGTGACAGCTCCATCTCCAGGGCCCCACTCTTTCCTCAAGGCCAGGCTGGCCCAAAGGTACAACCCTGGAGTTTCACCCGGATGCTCTTTCTGTGCCTCGGTGCCCAATCTGAAACTGTCCGTGGGTCCAATTGAGTCCCTTCATTAAAACAGTAGGCGCCATTGATTGGTCAGGAATTTCCTAGAGATTCGGAAGCTCCAGGCCTGCAGTCACTGGGGAAAAGACCACTGTACCACTCCAGGGCTGCAGCCATGAATTTAAAGAGTTGTCTTCTTGCTGTAGCTGGGAATTATTATCACCTGGATTCCTGTACTCCTTAGAAGGAAAGCAAGTTTATCCTTGCAGCATTTGAGAGACAAGGTGAAGTGTGTGCAAAATGGAGGGAGGTAAAACAAAAACAAAACCTTGAGCTGATAGGAAAGAGGTGAAAACCTCTGGCTTGCAAGCCAGTGCACCACCATGAAGTCTTGGTTCTTTATCTTGGTTCAGTGGCATCAGGAAGCTGCAGGGGACCTGCTGAGAAGGAGAGCTTGCTAAAGATACTGATTTCCTTATGTGAATGCTCCTCGTTCCCAGCAAAACAAACAGATATGCAGCCTCACTCATCAGGGGAGCAGGTGGCAGCCTTGACAGAGAGGGGGAATACAAAGAGCATGGCAGGAGAGAGCAGAAAGGAAACGTTAATGGGGCTGCCTGGGTCCAGGGCCCTGTAACGATTTGCACTTTAAGAGGCGGACAGGGGATTTTGTGCACCCTTTGAGCTTCACAAAAGGGTGCAGCTCCCAGTACAAGGGATGATGGCTCCTCCTGAGGTATGATGCAGTGGGGCTCCCAAGCGCTGTAATTATAGAAAGGAGTGGGTTCTCTGCCTCACTGGTGAAGAGACTTCAATTTTCCATCTTCCCAGAGCCTTCGCTGGAGCTTCTGTAGCTGCAAACCTTCTGTTACTAATTAAGGGAACATTTCTCCAGACGGATTAAATCTCAAGGCAACAGCAAATCTTCTGGTAGCAGAATGCTCCAGATATCACTCCAGGTAGCACGGGTCTCAGTCACCAGCAAATCTGTTAACAAATCCAGGGCAGAGAGGCAGGGGACATCCTCAATACTAAAGCCCAGAATGCCTGTCCTTTTCTGGAAAGGACTACACAGCCTAATAGAAGGAAGGTGTGGCCAAGGAAGGGAAAGCATCTTTTCCCTAATACAGTACATTGGAAGTATTATAATGATGCAGTTTAAGCAGTCATCTGTCACACTCACTGCCGTGCACTGTCATTAGCTGCTGTGATATAAATAGCATGGGGGGGGGGTGAGAGGCTCATCAGGCAGATCATCTGTCCCCAGGTGCTCACTGACCAGGCTCCTTGTGTGTTTTTGTGGACAGTGGTTTAAGTGAATGAGGGTGTTCTGGGAGGAGTGTGAGAGGCTCATCAGGCAGATCATCTGTCCCCAGGTGCTCCCTGACCAGGCTCCTTGTGTGTTTTTGTGGACAGTGGTTTAAGTGAATGAGGGTGTTCTGGGAGGAGGTTGGGTAAGGTGATCCACATACCAGATGCAGTGACCTGGCCGTGGAAAGGTGCTGATGCCCTGTGGGTGCTGCCTACCACTACCTTTTTTTTCCCCTCCCCACCTTCTCTCCCACTTTTCTTCCCTGTATAGCCAAGTTAACAGGACGCATCTATTTTTGCAGGCAAAACCACCCCCCCACCCTGTGCCCTGGAGACCTCTAGGAGGGTCCAGCGGTGCCCAAGGCGTGGACACTGAGGCCCCAGCCAGGGGAGGAGCCGCGTTCATCTTGGATGTCCATACAAGCCGAGGAGTGCTGAAATTCTCTCTCCAGTTGTTCTGAAGGAAACCACACTTTGTAAACGGTACAATTTATCACCAGTTGTCAGATGAAATTATGAAATGTGAGCCCTGCCGCCGACGCACACAGTATAACACAGCAGGGTTTACTGCAGCCAACTTTTCCTTTTCTTCAAGGGCAAAGCGAGGTTAATTCTAGGCGGTGCTACTTTAATGATGTCCCTCTCAAGCCCTGCAGTCCATGAGTTTTATCACCAGTTTTCTTAAATAGAGACTTTTTTCTTTTAAACGCACTTTGATGGATGTGTGTGCTACACCCACCAGCCGACCAGGTTTCCTGTGGGTCTGAGAAACACTCGTGGATTTGGACTTGCTTTCTGTGTGTATGTGTGTGTAAGAGTTTCCTGTACTAATCTCCAGTCTCAGTATTTTAATGCTGAAATGATAAAGATTCGTGTGTGAGCTCTAGTGAGACACTCGTGTATCTTAATAGCCCATGGGAGTCATTTTCTTTGTAGAATAATTTTTCTAAAATTAGCTCTTGTCACAGATCTGAGACACACTCAGTCTGTAGGAAGAATCCTCCTCCAGCTGGAATTCTTCTGTATCCTGCCAACCTCTTACAAATGGCCCCTTTCCTTCTTCATTTTCTATAAATGGGAGAAAGTCTCCAGCCTGCTGCATGTGGAGAGTAGGGTCGTAACCCTCCTCTCTCTCTCTCTCTCTCTCTCTCTCTCTCTCTCTCTCTCTCTCTCTCTCTCTCTCTCTGTCCCAGCCCATTCTTAAGCCAGTGTCCAGAAGAGCAGAAAGAAAAAAGTCCAGCTGGGTCAGCTGAGCATGCGGTCGTGGACAACCGCCATTCTTGGGAGCAGGTTTTCTCAAGTCTGTTCTGAGCAGGCTGCTCCTGAAGTTGGCAGAGCCTCTTCTGGTGACCCTGAGCTCTGACTCTGCATGGATGTGGCCATGTAGCCCAATCCACTGAGCTAGGAAGGACTCTGCTGGCTCTGACAGATCCAAATGATCTCACTTGGTAAAGACATGAATCCAAAGCACGGGTCCCAAGGCAACCAGCTATTTAAAATTGAGAATGCTGACTATTCCCCGAAGGGAAGAACCACATCTTATTCATCTTGTATCCTCAGAAGACCAGGTGGGGTGGCACGGGAAGTTCCTAATCAATACTTCCAAATACATGAACGACTGGCATTAATAAAAATAAATGGGAAGACGTGT